CTCGAGCTTTTATTGTACAATTAAATTTAACTATGACAAACCTCGTATACAGTTTTCCAGCAATTTAACAGGGCCAAAATAATTGTATTAACATTAAATCGATTGAAAACTCAACAAATTTAGCACATACAAATAGTTACTAATTGTTTAAAAATGACCGAAATGTTTCGAAAACTAAAACATGTTCGGAAAGTAATAATATAATGATTTCAGGTCTTTACGATCATTTCCAATTTAATAAAAACCAAAATCAAAATCATTTCAAACTATAATGAGAATATGTCAAAATATTATATTTCTAATAGGTTTAATTCAAAGGCATTTACCGTAGTCCTCGGTAGTATAGTGGTAAGTATCCCCGCCTGTCACGCGGGAGACCGGGGTTCGATTCCCCGCCGGGGAGGTAAATTTTTTGCAGTTTTTTTTTTATCAACATTTTTCCACAAACCGGTAAATAGTCTGTATTATGAAAAATAAACAGCTATTAACATTGTACTATTTATTTAACGAAATTTATCAAACATTTTATATTCCCAATAAAGCGAGCAATGTATTGATTTTATAATGTTTTTTTTTATCTGTGAACAACTTTTTTACAAGCAATTTTGCTCCAATTTTCAAGTATAGCACCTTTTCTGAAAGGAAATCGGACTTGGGAGGTAATTTTCGATTTCCCCAAGCGTTTTCTTAATAAATGTGAAAAACCGGAAAAAAAACGTAGGAAAACGGAAAAATTTACGAAATGTATTAAGTTTTAAATTTTAGATTCTGAGTGGAGCGAAGAAACTTATAGTTTTACAAAGATGTTTAGTGTTTTTTTTTTTTTTTTTAATCTGTGCGCAACTTTTCAATCATTTTTGGATTTTATCCACAGTATATCACTCGATATCATGGATTATTTTTTTGATTGAAGCAAGATTTTTAATAGAAAAGTTATTTGTCCTTCTTTAATATATATGGAATTAAACGGTTTTTGTAGAAGACCTGAGCTCCCACAAACAATCCTATAGCCACCTCAACCCATGTTCAATTGAAGTATTTTAGTGCAAATTTTATGTCCTAAAAAAATGTTTTCAGGCAAACTCAATACAAAAAAAAAAAAAATTCCTCATTAAGTTCAGAATCTAAACAAAAAAATACTCATAACTTCGTCACTATAATCGAATTTGCATGCGCTTTTTTTATCGCTTTTTTTTATACAGAAATATTATGTTATTCTTGTTATGAGAAATTCTACGAGTAGGTTATGTTTTATTATTATTAATTGAGCAATTCCGCCTTTTCTCTTCTAAGGTATGGTATAGTGAAAACCACTATAAATCCCTTGAAAATCGATTTGACTATGCGTTAACTGTTCTAAAAATAATCTAGAATATTCAGGTCAAACAATAAGCAATAGTGCAGTAAGTACCTATACATTATTGTTATAAGTACCTACATGTTAAGAAGAAAAACAATTAATCCATTGATTTACTGTATTATTTGATAGTTATCGGATTCCTGAGTCTCTTACTTATTAATTTCTTATTAGGACGTACGTTAGGAACGGAATTATTGTATTTTGTGAATTTAATATAGGTCATTTCTAAAGGGAAAAAAAACATTACCTCTCATAAATGTTAAAAATAGTTGAAAACATAAAAACAATGATTAAATAAGAAAAAAAAAATATCAACTAACAATTTGAAACTTTTAAAAATAATTTATAAAAATAAATAATTAAAAAATAATAATTTCCTGTACAAAAATTAAAAAAAAAAAAAAAAAAACGTTCAAACACAGTTTCTCAACATTTAACATTTTGGAGTTACTGTATCACTTCCTCGTGGCCGTACTGTCTACGTACTACTTCCATACAAATATTGTGAAATTTGAGCATACAAATAGTAGGGATGGGGTTGATAGCGAAAAACCTCAAAAAGGCATATCATCTATACTCAATATGCGCGTGTATAACACAATATATTATGCAGTATACACACTTTTTCATGGGATTTGATGGAGTGTTCAAAGCCAGAAAAAATAACACGTGATTAAATTCATAATTTAATTTTAAAAAAATGCTCAAGACACAAAAGTCTCCATTTTTTGGGAGAAAATTATTAAGCTATAAATAATCCGACGTATAAACAATTTATTCGATGACTTTGAAAGCTGGCAAAAGTAGTACTTTTCAAATTGAACTATTTTATCGTGTAACCGATAAAGTTCATTCTGTATTTGAAACTGGTTTCAAATAAACCATTTAAAATATTAATTCTTTTGTTAATCTTTGATAATTTAACGTGTATCGGCTTCAAATTACTATGAAGTCATCAAAAAGATTAACAGAAACCGTTATTGCGAAAATATTTCCGTTTTCTTAATTTTCCTCGGTTTGTTTACCCAATCAGTTGTTGAGCAAACTAAATGGAACTAGGTTCACAATCATTTTTTCGTAAGTAATGGTTTATTGTCGCTTACAGGTGTACATTACGTTACCTATAACAATGGCTGCACCAGTCTATATTATCCTAAGACGTCCTCCTAAAAACATATTCTATAACTTAATCATTAATCATTGATTTCAAATATTTTGTGTATATCATATTTTATATCATGTTAGGTATATGCCATAGACTTATATATCTAGAATAAATATTCAGCCCGAGACCTGAGAGGGCGAGGTCGGCCCGAAAAAACCAAGAGATACAAAGTATTTACAACCAATTAAACCACTCAGTTTGATATTTCACAAAATTCTGTCCTGGAAATGAAACTCTATCCACAGTAACGCGTTTTCATGCTGAATGTTCCGTTTTGATATTGTGTAAGTCTATAGGCACATTTTAGTTGTTTGTATAGATCCTATTTAAGATATTTATAGACTCTTGTTAATATTAATGTCGTTAATATTAAAATTTTGTTATCTGTACGAATCTTTGGGTACCTTTAATTAATCAACTAAATACAAATAGACTGTTTATACATGTTTAGAGGTGTGCGATTTCAATTATGAGGCTTGAGTATCACGGATATATTTATACCTTCACATTGTTAAACTTGAGGGTATATTAAATAATATGATGTTTATTGTATACAATGCTGCTAGAGTCAGCTCCTCAACAATAAATGATTAAATTTAGGGGAATCCTTAACTCACCGTGTCATTTCGTTTCGTATGAAATACTCTTTTTTGATTGGCTCATATTATCTTGGTAGATACATTTTGATCGCGTCTACCAAGACGTTACCGTGGATACCGCAGAATTGAATAAATTCAACTTTTGTACGGGCTGGTTATAGCTGGCAAAGTCATTTTCTTGTTTTCGTTTTAGCAATAAGTTAAATAAGTATTACAATTTTCATTTTTTAATAATTTAATTTAAAATAAAAATTAAATGTGAATTAATATTCAATTTCAATATTAGTTTTAATTCAATATGAACTTTGTGAAGGTAAATAACAACTTATGTAATCGTAAATTGTACATTTTTTTTAGAGACAGAAGTAATTTTAGTATAAGTTGTGTAATTTGTTTTAAAATCAATACCTACTAGTAGAACGTAAATATTAAAAATAGCAATACATTAGCAATTAAAATTAAGTAAAGTAATTTTGTTATTTTTATTATTATTAGTAAATCGTTTAATAAAAGTAAATTTTATTAATAAAGTGGATACTGTTTTGGTAATAACTCAATGACATCGTCTTTCTTGACAGCAAATACTATGAATAATAAAAAACCTAGAGAAAGTGAAATAATAATAAATACCTATTCATAAATAACATAATATATTGTAATGATATTATATTTTAAGAAAAATGTAAGGTAGCAATTACCGCGCATTTTCAATGAATGGTAAATTAATAGTGATAGTGAGTGATAATGTTGGTTGTTGGTAGAACGATTGGTATAAATTATTTCCTGCAATCAAAAAGGAACGTGTCGTGTACGAAACACGCGAAACAAAACGACACGGCCAGTTGAGCACTCCCCCTTAGACGTAATTACAGTAGAAATCAGAGGTAGGTATACGTTAGTGTTGTGTTCGCATAAATATGGATTTGTTGCCAAATGGTTATCATCGAAATATTCTTGACATTATTATTGTAGTTAGCAGCAATGTGTAATGTTTGAAAAAAGTTTTAAAAGAAACCCGTCCGGTTTGGCTTTGTTTTAAGTATTAATAATTTCGATAAGAATAACGTCAAAGTTTTCGAATCTATTGCAGTTTAATTTAATAAATATACGTATGTATAATTGTTTTATTATTTATTTACTTATGTATCGTAAAAGTTATTTACAAATCATAGGTAGTCACGAGTTTAAAATTCGTCGAAAATCAATAAAAATCATATTTTTTAACCAAATTTAGACGGTGGTATCTCAAGTGATTATTGAGTTGAAATAAAATTGTGTTGATCAAAGTTTCCCGGAAAAAATGGGTCTATTTTAATCTAGCGTCGAAAATATGCATTAGTATTCAAAAAAAAAAAAATATATATGTATATATATATATAAAAAACGGAATTCCAATCCAAGTTCATCCGGCCGACATATTTAGCGTGCCACCTGAAAATTTAATCGCGCAGTATAATTATGTTTAGTTTTATAAATCGAATAATCATTAATTATAACGTGGACATATGCTTCAAGTAATTGAAAACGTATCGTTTTAAATTAGTTTTGTAAAATGTAGAATACGTTGGCCATCTATTTTCAATTCCAGACCACGGTGCGTTGCTACGTAAAAGTTTTAGTTTATCGTTCGGTATAGCGGATTTGACATAGCAGTACATTATTATAATTCGATGACAACGATTTCGCATTCGACAATCGCGCGACGATTCCGGAATTAGTTTATAGGAAAAGGAGAAAACAAAAAGGTAGGAATATAAAAATAGTCGAGCTCGCGAGTACATTATCCACCGGCAAAATCGATATCCGCCGAGCCCGCGCATCGCGACGCATCAAGACCTAATCCGTTCGATAATTGCCCGGTTAGCAATAAATCGAAATGGACGAATGCCGTGAAAACATCAAGAACTTGATCCCGAAACCGATAGTGGCCGTTGTCAAACCACCGATGCACCGTTCCGTATTCACGGAATCGGTGAAGCGTGGGTACAACATGAACAAAGACTGTCACCGGACGATGGGTTACGCCAAAGTCCATCTCGACCCACCGTCGCAATTTTTAAAAAAGAACACCAGAATAGTGATTAGACCGTCGGTCGGTAAGATAAAAATACGTATATTTTTATAATATTAATACCCGTGTGATATCGTAAAATATAATTAAGCAATTGCTTAATGGCGTACGCGGGATTTTTCAATGGGGAGGGGGAGGAGCGGCTTAAAAATTGATAATTAATCGGTTGTTTTGTCACAAGTTTGAAAAATAAAGTATGTCATTAGGTGTATTCTTAGTTCTGACTGAATATACACAAACATATGAAAAAAAAAAAAATAAAAAATATTTAGGTAAATGTTAGGCAGTAAATTACAATTCTTAAACTAATGGAATATTAAAAAGCCAGAGATTAACCAAAGTAAGAATTTTTAGAATTTTATAAATTGTGGATTGTATTCCTATTTTTTGATTCTGAGTGAAGCGAAGAAGCTTATGGTTTTATAAAGATATAAATATTTTTTTTTTTCTGTGAACAACTTTTTTACCAAAAATCTGGTTCTGATTTATAATGATAGCACTTTTTCTAAAAGGAAATCTGGCTGGGAAAGTACTTAAGAAGGTAATTTTTTGATTTTTCCCAGGAGTTTTCCCAATAAATGAAAAAAACCGATAAAACCATGAGAAAACCGTGGGAAAAATGAGAAAATAGGTAAAAATATTAAACAAATATTACTAAAAAAAATATAAAATGCCCATTTAATTTATTATTTTACCATAATATGGCATGCATATTATATGTAATATCAACTGAACTCCGCTACGACAGTGGCTCACGTGCGAAGTTGCACCGGTTTTTTTTTTTCTTCGAACTATAAATCGATAAAATGTCTACTTTTTTTTCTGTCAATGAACAATTAAACAGTTATTTCAGTTTTGCAAAACTGCGAGAACACGACGAAAAACCTAAGTACCCATACAAAATATTATTTCTTTGACACGTGCCTATATAATTGTTATTCATTAATTAAAGGTTATATTATTATTATCTACAACATCCGTGAGCTAACCTAACGATGCTTTAATTGTTGTTAGTATCAGTTTGTTAAGTTCATTATTATACGCACAACAACACCAGCTGCCAAAGTTATAATAATAACAAAACCATTGTTCGTAACGAGTGTCACCACGTTAGACGAAATAATAATCTTATGAACCTAATAACATCTTATTCCGTGATAATATAGTAAGGTTAATAATAATTAATAATTAATAGACTGCGGTGGTAAATTAAATTATTTACTGACTTGGGTAGTAATTATTGTTACACTTGAAAAATATACAAATTTCTATATAAATATGGTCGGTCAATGGAAGGGGGCTTCAGCTAAGGAGCTAAAGGTAAAGGTACCCCCCCCCCTGCGTACACCACTGTAATCAAGTAAGATTATTTTTATCGCGAACGGATTATCTAAATGATAATTTTAAATAAATTCGATGTCGATTTTTTTTATTCTCCGGAGGTCTCTGTTCATAATGGAATTAATATATTATAATATATACGTGAGTAAAAAAAAAAAAAAAAATGTGCACTTGATACACGCGGATTTAGCATCCATAATACACGTGTATTTCAGTGTTATTCACGTACTCGTACGGATTAACGGTTATGTGTCCGTGACAAATTTATTTTGGCCAATTTATTAATTAATTAATTGTTTTTTTTTGGGCACATATTTTCTACCGACAATTTTGTTCCAATTTTTAATCATGACAATATTTCTAAAAAGAAATTTGATTGTTACTTTATGGAGGTCAGTTTATGATTATCCCAAGATTTTTCCAGGCAAATGTGAAAAACCAAACAAAAACGGAGGAAAAACTTAGAAAAACTGGGGAAATCGGTACAACATTAAACAAATATTACTAAAGAAAATACAGAAAGCTTTTTTAATTATTTTACTATAATGTGACATACATATTATTGACAAAGCATTACTATCCACTGAACTCCGTATCGGTTTTTTTGTAAGCAATTGTTTTTCGTTGCTTACAGGTATACATTAAATTACTTAGAACAGTGGCTGCACCCGTCCTTATTTTCCTAGATTATTTCCTTTTTTAAACCTAAAATTCGAAAATAGAATATAATTCCAAACATTTCGATTCGTGTAAATGTTGTGAGTTTAGAGTATATGAGTTTAGGCCGGAGGAATAGTAAATTGTATGTACTACTAATATAAAATAAAATATAAATATTCTCGACGATATGTATTATAACCGATTTATATTGACCGCGAGTTGCTATTTGGAATTAAATATGGACAGGAACACGAGACAACAGTTTTAAGACCAGTAGAACTGTCCGAATAATGTGCGTGACCGCTCTCTCCCTGATTTTGACATCAAACAAAATGTATGATGACGCATAGATAAACTTAATAAATGTAGTTATAACGATCTCCAGAGAAAGTCAAGTGTGATAAAAAGTCACCGAGAGTTCCGAAGCTGGCCCCACCGGGTGAACCGAGACCAAAAAAAAACATAATAGCCGAGAACATTGTCGCCGTCAAGAGGACATTGCCGCCTTTGTCCAAGCACAATGTCCAAGACACAAAAGACGGTCACGTTATCGATCTGAAAAACGCCGGCCTGGAGCCGACTTACGTGTGCAAAAAGGTATGTGATTTAAACAAGCTCCCGGACCGGTGATCGTATCGGTAATTGAGGATTTTATATAGGTTACGGGTTAAAAACATATGTTTTTCCATTAGCAGTTCCACGGGAAAATCGCGAAATGAGTTGTATTATAATGAAAGCACGAAGACTTTGTTTTGTTTGTTAGTGTATTTAAATAGATAGTTTAACCTTATGAAATTAATAATTATTGTTCAATTTCAATTTAAACTTAAGTCTAATAATATTTCGAGTCATTATCATATTGCAGATTGCACATCACTTTGTCTAATAGTCCTTTTTACCGGTATTAGTTATACTCGTACGTTTTACATAGGTGCATTTAGGTTGCTGTAAACATTTGTGAAATGCGTTGTTATTTTATGTGTTTAAGAATTACGGGAAAACGCCTAAGTATATCATCAAAATGTACAAAGAAAAAGAGATGGCCCGACAAAAGGAAGAAGAACGGATACGGACTATAAAGCGACCATACAGGCTTTTGCCGCAAGAAGAGCGACTGGAATTGTTAAATGTATGCTCGACGTCCGTTTTCGGATTTTAACGTGAAGTGTTTGGTTTTTTTCGACCATAACACGTGCGTTTTCGTATTTTCTGTTTAGGGACTGAAGACCAACTGGGCCGAATTATACAAGGAGTTTTTGTTGCTTCCGATGATAACAGACACGGTACCGAAAATCAATAGGAAAAGTATGTTAGACAAAGAATTAGGGAGCTTAGAAAAGGATATCGACTTGCTGGAACGCAATCTGAATATATACGTGGAAGAGTAGATACAGGATTGGAAACCAATTACCGGGTTTTTATCGTTATTTTATACAGATTCTCATCAGAGAGTATTTTTATTTATATATTTGCCATAAAATACGTCATACATGTGTTATAATCCGATTGTTTACGACTATTTACATGTCCTGCAAGCTGTAGCTCATCATATTATTTTAATTATCAGTATTATACTCTTCCCATTTTTTTTGATTAAATTTTAAATATATTCAAATTCTGATTTTTGGGATTTTTATGTGTAGTTAAAATCGAATATTTAGATTTTGAACAAAATTTAACGAGTATCTTGTAACGATTAAACGATACCGACTTTGGTTTTTCAAATGAGAACCTATATAAAAAATTCTATCAATAGACGAAGTATTATTTTAAATACGTTTTGGTTTTCTGTCTACCCGTTACTGAGATATTTCACTTTGAGGTTTAGGTATCGGGGAAGTAGTGGAGAATCAAATGTGGCGCCCGTGCGGCGCGCAGCGTTGTATTAGTGTTCCACTACTCCTTCGCTACCAAAATTTTAAAGTGGAATATCTCGTTAACGGGTAGACGGAAATCAAAAATGTCGACTGGTATCAACATTTTGATTAGATGATTATATATATATATTATATAATGATTACCATAAACCAATAAGCACATATTTTGAATGGATTATTTTTCATAATATGCGTTCGGCAGAATTAAAAAAATATTATATAGAAAAATTGATATTTATATATATATACAATATAGGTTAGATACAAAATTTAAACTAAATAAAATCATAGTTTTTAAAAATGACGTAGAGGGTCGATGGATATCTTTTTCGATCAATTTCCAATCCAACTGTCAATGAAAATTGTATTTAAAAATACATATAATATTATAGATAGTAAATATCATTAAATTGTTCCGACTAAAAAAAATCTGACTGTTGGGCTGTTTGCCTTTAAAAGGAAATTAATACTTTTAGATTCTGAGTGAAACGAAGAATCTTACGGTTTTACAAAGATACCTTAAAGAAGTAGTTTTTCAATTTTCTCATCAAATTTGGAAAACCGAAAAAAAAAGGAAAATATAAGAGATGTAGGTTAGTTAAAATAGTATATTACGGTCTTCTTTTTTGCAGCGTACAACTTTTCTACCAGAAATTTTGCTCCAGTTTATAGTTATAGCAATGTTTCTAAAAGGAAATTTGACTGGTACTTGAGGGAGGTCATTTTTCGATTTTCCCAAAAGTTTTCCAGGCAAATGTAAAAAACAGAAACAAAAAACGGAGGAAAAACTTAAGAAAACACGGATAATCGGCATAACATGAAACAAATATTATTAAAGATAATATATAAAACTTATTTAATTATTTTACTATAATATGATGTATATACACATATAGAATCTTTTTTCGTAAGCAATGGTTTATTGTTGCTTACAGTTATATTGAATTATCTATAACAGTGGTTGCGTCAGTCCTCATAATCGTAGGATGTTTTTTTTTTTTTTAAATACAACATTTAATAGAACGACAATTCTGTATAAACTTACACGTAAGGTTTGTTTTTTTTTTTAAACGTCCACTCGCTATACAAAATAATAATAATAATAGATGACCCACAAAATAACGCCCAAAGGATGGTTCCACTTTTCGAAATTATTGTTGTTTTTAAGAGCAATTAAAAAAAAACACAACTTTTATACTTTTTTTCTGGAATTTATATTTGACCGTTGCATCCGGACACTGTTCAAGAATATAGATAATAATATTATAATAATTGCTAATAATATGCTGATTGCATTCAGCACTGTACTTCGGATTCATTTGCAGATGGTTGCAGCCGCATATAGAGTATTTTAGATTCTGAGGGGCTAAGTTTTTTCGTTTTTATTTTAATGTAGGTGCCTAATAAATTGTGTGCTTTTATTTTTATAGCCAAAGGGGTTTAAACACCCAGATCCACCCCACCGTAATAACGCCAATGTACGAATATTATTTATAGGTGGGCAAAAATGTTCATACTAATGTATTATACTTTTAAAATGTATTCAAAATAAATATCCGAGTGCCTACAAAAACTAGTATTCAAAATATATATTCAAATAATTTACGGCAATAGTATTTTTAAAACATTTAAATTACATTTTAAAAATGATCAGACATTTTTTAATTTTAAAAATAGATATAATCTCTATTAAATAAGAGTTGATACTGCTGACATCTTACAGAATTTTAAAAAAAATAAAATACTTTTTTAAACTATTTGGGATAAAATGATATTGAATACTTCCAACAAAAAAAAAATATTTTTAAAATATTCACTATTCAGTCAATATACTTTTTTCGCAATACTATATCCATGTTTGGAAATTTCTAAAAATGCATAGTTTTTTTTTTTTTTTTTTATTGCTTAAAGTAGGTAATAATTTATTATGTTAATCATCCCATTAAACAGGGTTATTTTAAATAAAGGCATTAAAGGCAGTATAATTGCCAATAATTGGCCCTTGGCCCCATTCACATTTATTTTTATAACGTGTATACAGTCTTCCCATGGGTATTAACTTTCTCGTGAAAAGGGATTTTTTCCAAACTCGTAGTCAATTTTCAACTTATTTCCGTGACTCGACTTACTTGACATTTTGAAATTTAAGAATTAGAAATCAGTTTTCCGGTTTTCACCCCTACCTATATAGCTTTCAGATTTTCCACATCCTCAAAGCGGATGAAAAAATAATTTTTCAAAACAAACGACCCACGCGTAAAAAGACGGACATGGTTCGCACGGTGGAGAGGTCTACTCTTGTATGTGAGAAATTACCTTCCTAGGTAGGGTATAGAGGAGAATTTAATTTAAATCTGTACCTAACGATAAACCATTGCTTTATATCCATGTTTGGAAATTTCTAAAAATGCATAGTTTTTTTTTTTTTTTTTTTTTATATAGATTTTTTTCCGTTTTACCTACGTCTTTTCCCAATTATGTATTATGAAAACCACTTGGAAAATCAAAAAAATAACCTTCTGAAAATACAACCCAGAAAAATTAAATTTCGGAAAAGGTACTACACATAAAAATTGGAGCAAGATTTCTGGTATAAAAAATGTACAGATTATTCACCAATAAATGTAACCAAAGGTACGTATTTCGTTATTTTCATTCACACTTTTCATCTTCATCGGTCACCGCTCTTATCGTACACGGAAACACGTTTCCGTTCGCGCACGCATATAAAATATTACGCCCCTGAAATCGTGAAATATTCCGCGTATAGCGGTCCAATCGATCCAGTTGTATCGTCGGAACATATAATTTATATACGTATAGAAATAAATAAATTGTGCAATTGTGCAACAATCGTAACCGACGAACCGCGTATTCCGTCATACAGTGTTGTATTATTTTATGTACAACCCGGAAAAATATTATCATGTTAACACACGTATAATGCGAGTCGAGTCTCCGCATTTTACCTCGCGATAGTATCGCATTAAATCTGCGGCGGAGCTTATCGAGTTACCAGTAACAAACGATTTTTCCCGTAAACGAGGTAAGACCCCCGACGACGGCGTTGTTGCCATGACGCCACTACGGCGACGTTTGTAAGTGATATTCGCGGTAAAATTAAATTATCTATAGTGCCCGCTCTCTAATGAAAACAAAACCACAAAAACACTATATATATTCTATTGCGGTATTTCGAAACGAATTCCAAAATCGAATTTCGAATAAACCTAAATAAATCTAAAGACCAACCGCGACGTTAACGTATTAATTATTTATGTCCCCCATACACTGTGTTTGGAACTTACTGACTGTAACCGATCTCGAGCAATTGCCCAGCCCGACCCTATACTAGCTAGCCATGACACATGACACTGACACTGCGTGTGGGCCCGTGAGTCGTGTTCTACATTATGCAATGAAAAAATGGACAGGACGCGGCTTAACATTTTTGGCATTTTTTGCAACATTCACAGCAATCTACATCCCAAACCCTATTGGTGAAATGTATTAATTACGCACCGTTTAAATGTGTACATCAGTTCTCTGATAAGGTACTCAAAACGAATAAAGAACAGGCCAATCAAATGATTACAGATTTGATCAGGTAACATAGGCGTGCGCAGGGGGTATGCAGTGTATGCGGCTGCATACCCTGGACACCGGGCCCGGATTAAGAAGAAAGAATAGGGGTCTACGTCACTAAATTTCGCGAAAACCATATTATGAGGTTAATCGAATATTTGCTAAATATGTACGTTTTGTGTTGGAATTCAATTTGAATTTTAAGTAAAAATTACATTTTTTGTACAACCAACAGTTGGTGAGACATTTCAATAAATGCGCATATTTTTTTTTCATCAAAGTTATACGAGCTTAGAATAATTTTCTGGGGCACTGGCGGCAGCCTTCTGCATACCCTGAAAAAGTGGCCTACCCATGTCTGGTACTCATTTCAAGTGGGTAGAGAAACATTCTCTAATAACAATTATTATACAATATGCAAACAGAAACAACGTTTTTATCGAAACGGTCGGAGATTTCAAATTCCAGTATGGAGTACCTATTTGTCGTAACAGCGTTTGATGCTAACAGAAATATCTAATAGCAAATAGCAATACCAATAATAATATAACGCTGACAGCGGGCGCCAGCGTTATAAGCGTCGGGTCCTAGGGTCGAAATTAGTCAATTCGAGTTATTGTATAATAATATTATTGCAGTTATTTCGAAACGGCCCTCGGAATATTAAAACCATTATTCATTTTCTACACACGTTATATCTTCGCCGTTTTCGTTTCGGTACGTTGAAATGACGCAGTAAAAAGTCGTGGTAAATCTATAAAGCCATATACCGCTGCGTAACTTTTTGAGTATTTTTTACTGCCCCCAAACGTGACGTTTACCGAGAAGACAAGAAAACAATATCGTAAAACTAATATTAATATATTATACGAGTGTATTATTAGAGGTACTTACTTCACTCTGCTCAGAATCCAATATGCCGGTGC